CTAAGCGTTGGATATTATCTAATAAAATAACTAGTTTGCCATATTGGCATTGGCGTATACAAGCATATAAAAATTTTATATCAAATGGAATATCTCCAGAGTTGGCTGAAGAACGAGCTTTAAGAGTTAAGCTCTCAAAGAGGTATCAAAATGAATGAGTATCCCATATATCTAGAATACCTACATAAGCTAAACTAGTGATAGATAGAATGCAAAGCTTTGCAGAGTTAATATTTTTTCGAATATAAATATTAATTATAGTAGTACGTAACCCACAGGTTACAATGTCATGTGACTGCGGCTTATATAATGTAGTACGTGACCTTGAGGTCACAGTCTTATAAAAAAATATTAATATATAAAGTCAGTAACTGTTATCAAAATGGTATTTGTTAGTATTTCAAAATTGGTAGTATATGACATATAGGTCACAATATCATGTGATTACTGCACTATATACTATACTTTGTATGATTTATTGTTATATTTGTGAATGTTTGTTGACCGCTCGAGGTCATATTCTTATAAAAAAATATTAATATATAATGTCAGTAACTGTTATCAAAATGGAATTGGGATTTGCTTATTATTGTAGAGCAATAATAATACAGAGTATTGAGGAAGCTAAGCTTCGAGTCTTTGACTCATCTATGATTCCTATTCAAGTTTATAAACGATCAGCTGATATGGGCAATGTTTGTGGAATATTTCAAGTTGGTGTTCTTGATATTTTTTTTCTAAAAAAATTATGAATTCTAAGAATTCTAAGAATTCTAAAATTACTAAGAATATTTTAATTCTCAGAATCTTTATATTTTATAAAAATGACGAATTTCCATGAATATTATTCAGAACTTCTCAAGAAATTACCTCTTTCTATAAAAAAAAATATATGGAATCGTCTTATATCTAGATTACATAATCCTTTATCAGAAGAACAGGCAAGTAGTATTCATCCTGATATTGAAGTATTGCTAATTAGTGAAGTTGATAAATATGAAAAGAAAAAAAATCGGCAACGTTGTAGACCCGAAGAAGCATTGCTTCACAATAATTTTCAGATGATACTACCTTTACTAATATCCAAGTAATTAAGACCCCAAGGGATATTGCTCTATTATACTCTGAAGAAGAGGTTAATGCTAGAATCAAAGAAGCTACAGATAATTTACGTCAAGAATTTATTAAATCTA